TAAGTTAACGTTGTAGTCGCACTAGCATTTGCGCTCCTGACATACCGAAACCCCAACCCCTTTTCGTCTAACCTGTTATTGGTTTTTGCTGTTTTGAATTATGCCTTTGTATTAAACACTAATCTTGTGATTGTGGCACAGCTAAGGTCATCACCGATAGAGATACTGGGAGATCGAGGGGTTTTGGATTCGTGAACTTTACAGATGGTGAATCTGCAAAGGAAGCTATGACAGCAATGGATGGACAGGTAAAACTTTGTGAGACAATTCAATATGCAAGTGGAATTTCCACCATCCATTTATGCTTTTATGACATCTAGGTGCTTTTGGCATCTTGTCTTTAGCCGAGGGTCAATCGGAAACAGCCTCTCTGCCCTCCAGGGTAGGGGTAAGGTCTCCGTATCCACTACCCTCCCCAGACCCTACTTGTGGGAACTCACTGGATTTGTTATTGTTGTTGTTGTTGTTGTTGTTGATGTGCGTTTGGTATGGTTGCACGCATTTAGATATGCTGATAATCCGATTTACTTGATTAATCATGGCTGATATCATATTATGATCCGTGCAGGAACTCAACGGGAGGAACATCCGCGTCAGTCTTGCCCAAGAGAGAGCTCCTCGCAACGGTGGTTTTGGTTCTGGTGGTGGCGGATATGGTGGCGGCTATGGTGGATCTAGAGGAAACGACGGATTCTAATTGTTCTCGTCTTTGCTCAATTGTCTATACAGGCATTGGCAATTTTCGTAGGGTAGGAGATACGAATTAACACGATTTTGTATTGAATGATTTTTGTTTTGCTTTTCATTATATGCTTCTATATCAAGTTTTTACATATGATATTTGACTGCTTCTATCTTCTGGTTATTTGGTTTTCTTGAGCCGAGGGTCTTTCAGAAACAGCCTCTCTACACCTTCAGGGTAGAGGTAAGGTCTGCGTACACACTACCCTCCCCAGACCCGCTAGTGGGATTTCACCGAGTTGTTGTTGTATCTTCTGGTTATTTATAACTTTATGGTAAACATTGTCCTAGGCCTTGGTCTAAATGGTAAGAGCACAAAGCGTCATGTGTAATTTGCACATACTTCATGAGTTCAACTCAGATAAAAGCTTGGTATATAAGTGGAGAATAGAGGATTAGATTCACTATCTATTGAGTTCACGCCGCTAACCTTGGGAATTTCTCGGTTAATAAAAATCCGCGTTGAGTCGAAAAAAAAAATTACCAACTCTGAAGCGATTGGTATGAAAACATGGGCGAATTGCCCATAACCATCTTGAAAAATTGAACTGGAAAATTAAAGTTCAGGATACTAATTCGTAAATAGCAGCCATATAGAGTGGTTGGAAAATTTGGAAAATTAAAGTTCAGGATACTAATTCGTAAATAGCAGTCAAATTTACGACAACTAAAAAACTTAACCAAATTTACCTTCAATGAGGAAAGAATTGTATGGAGTTGTTCACTAAGCCCAGGAAACAAGCCCAAGAAACCTATGTGGCCCAATTCAGACCATGTTCATCCTATGTCAATTTGCCTATCCCTTGAAGAAATGCTCATTTTCTTAGTTTTCCTTTTCCTCTCATTTAAATTGCTTATTAAATCATGTAAACATAGCTTATTGTATATTTTTGCTTCTTTTACTTCAAGGTGTACTTACAGAACGCAATGACTTACTACGATACTTTTTTTTTTTTGGCTTTTAATAATCAGTGTCCGACAACTTATATGCACTTCGATTAATTTCTTGCATACTTGCAATTTTCCATCATCACAAGTACGAATAATTTTGTCCATCAATATTTGAATTTTGGACGGATAAGAAGAAATTACCTACATATTTTGCTTCCCCTAAGATTTAAATCCAACGTCTTATAATTCTCATACTCACTTTATTAACAGCTAAATCACCCCTTGGGTGCTACTATGATATTAAAGCATAAGTTATTTTCTAAGAAATTCGTGTATACCATTAATATATTCAATTATGTTAACAAGGAAATTCTGAGATGTTAGTAGAAAGAGACTTTGTAGTCTATATTTCAATAGGCATGAAATTATAGTTGTTAGGTAATTAATATAAAGAGAATGTTGTCCCACTACTTAGATACAAAATTTAGTGTGCAGTCTTGTGAATGTTTTAAAATCTTATTGCTAATTGACGTTATGACCATAAAATTAGCCTTTGCCGACACTTTCATTTCCCCAAAAGTCCTTTTCACGAATTAGTTAACATCTGTCTGTTTGTTCTTTCGATGCACAAAATATTTCGTATTTACTTAAAATTTAAGAAAGGACTTCATCCAAAATGTATGAAGTAAACAGCCAACTAAAACGCACAAGCATCAGTAGCAGATTCTTGACTTGAACTTTCGTGACCTATAAATTACACTAAAACAACTCTAATTTACTGTTGCTTCAACATGTGCCTTTGGTCCATACAAAATTGATGTATAAATTAATTAAGAGTGTGACAATACTAATTTTTACTATATTTTAACAAAGCAAAGTTGTTGTCTACTTTCACATCAAGGAGTAGGATGACAGAAAATAGTTAGAGCATCTTGAGCTGGAGATAGACTTTAGGGACTTCTTGTCTTGTTTAGGGCACTAGAGCAATTTGAGAAACTTCGACACACATAATATGGTAAGTAATGGGTGTTCAAGTCGAACCGGAAAATCGTGTCAAATCGAAAAATCAAACCAAATCGATTAAAAAATCCAATTAGGTTTGGTTTGACTTAGTTTGGAATTGAGTAAAAAAACCCGAACCAAACCATCGTATAAATATATAAATTTTATTTATATTTTTAAGACTTTATAGTGAATTTTCTTTAAAAAATGTAGAAATATTTGGGATCCTCTCATGTATTAACCTTGAAAGCTTAAATTAACGAAAAATTATTGTTAGAGGACTAAAAAAATAACTATCATGTATTACTAAAAAAATTCTCCCATTAGAATATATTAATAGATCATATGTTTGTTAATTTTTTTCATATTTATTAAACATATATTCACTTATCAAAACCTTATCTTTAATTTTAATAAAGTAAGATTGAAATAATATTCATGTAACAAAAAAACCCAAAAATCCAAAAAAACCGACAAAACCTAACCAATCCAAACCGATATAGTTGGTTTGGTTCGATTTTGATAAAAACTGAACCAACCCGGTCCATATAAACCTCTAATGGTAACTCTCTCTCTCGTGATGTACATATAAAAAAATTATAATATGCATAGATGATGCTTAGTTTGTCGTTTTTACATATTTAACCAGTTTACACATATCTTAATTAGGGGTGTACAAACCGAATTGGAAAACTTCACTAAACCAAAAAGTCAAAACAGATCGATTAAAAAATGACTATGTTTGATTTTGGTGTGGTATTGAGTAAAAAAATCCGAACCAAACTGATATATAAATATATAATTTGTATATATACTTTTAAGATTTTGTATAAAAAAATTTTTAAAAAATATCTAGAAATATTTGGGATTTTCTTACGGAATATAATATTTAATAAATATGAGGCCCACTATATTTATTAACTTTAAATAATGGGTTGTATGATCACTTTCTTATCTAGTGTTATTGAAATGCGTCAATCTATTTGTTCTTCTATATTCATATGTCAAGATCTATTAAATTCTTATATCTTTTTCGAATTTGAAGTGTTTATTATTATTTAGGTATCACATTGTTTTTTATGTTTAATTACTAAATTCGGTTAACCTTGAAAGTGTACATCAACGAAAAATTATTGTCAGACGATTAAAAAAATAACTATCATATGTTACTAAGTAGATTCTCCCACAAGAATATTTAATAGATAATATGTTATATGTCAATTTTTTAATTTTTACTAAACATATATTTATTTATAAAAATTTAACAAAGTAAGATTGAACAAATATTTGAGTAACAAAAAATTCGAAAAACCGAAAAACCCACTAAAACTGAACCGATTCAAACCGATATAGTTGGTTTTGTTTGGTTTTGATAAATTCCAACCGAGAGATTGTGAGTTCGAGTCTCCCCAAGAGCAAGGTGGGAAGTTCTTGGAGGGAAGGATGCCGGGGGTCTATTTGAAAACAGCCTCTCTACCCCATGGTAGGGTAAGGTCTGCGTACACATTACCCTCCCCCAGACCCTATTAAGTGGGACTATACTGGGTTATTGTTGTTTGGTTTTGATAAAATCCGAACCAACCCGATCCATATACACCCCTAATCTCAACTATTATCACGCATTATAAAAATAAAGTAGAGTTTGATTTGTGCTAGATCTGATCGTAATTACACATATGAAACTATAGAAAATAAATTATATTACCTTAGTTGTGATTTTACAAGGAGGTCATCTTCCCAGTAATGAAAACATTATTTAATCCGATAAAATATAAGAATTTCAGATTCCTGTGTGAGCTTATGATGTTCAACAATTAAGACCTACTTTTCTTTGTCTGTTTTATTTTAATGTTTAGTTTTATTTATAATTAAAATTTCTTCCAACACCGACCATACACGATGTACCAATTATTATAAATTATTTAAAAAATACTTGCCTTCTTTTTTGGGGAATATAATCATGGCCAGTAAACAACAATATATTCTAAATTAAACCATCTTATGAACACATTTATTCTTGACCAAATGATACACATACCGTTTCTTGGTAAATTAATTAGGTTAACCTAGTATTCTAAGTAACTTGAATATTACATTAAACAACATAGTATCATGTTGTTGCAAGGATTTTGGATCTTGTCCAACATTTTTTATATGTAATTTAAGTATGTAACTAAAAATATTTGAGATTGTGGTCTCGTTTAGGCTGTAAATGATGGGTTCAATCAGAGGTGTCAAACGGGTCGGGTTGACCCGGGACCGGCCTGGCCCAGACTGGTTGAAACCCGCACCGGCCCTACTCGGTACTTAGGGGGCGGGTGGGCTGCGTTACTGGGGTTAGGGGGTTGGTCCGTTCACTTTAATTTATCCGATTAACCAGACCGGTTAAACCGGTCAACCAAAATTCCTGTAGAATCGGTTAACCGGCCCGGCCTGGACCAGCCCGGTTTAACGACTAGATTTCAATTTTTCTTTTTAAAGATTTTAGAGTCTAAGGCAATGCAATTTTTTTGAATTTACTCTTTTTTCATTAATATTACTTGTTAAAAGTAAACATTTCAATTTGTAAGTTTGAATTTTGAAATAAGCGCACTTGCAATTTATAAGTGTAATTTTTTCACATTTTCATTGTATTCTTTATATTTTTACTTTATATTAATATAACTTACAATAGTTATACAAAATACAAAAGAAAATTAAAAATTACACTAACCCAGCCTGGCCCGACCCCTTGTACGCGAAACCCTTACGGTTCATTTTTTTACCCGGATGAACCCGAACCCGTTAAGTCCGATAATCCCTAACCCGTAACCGGCTCGGTTCAAAACCCGAACGATTTCAACTTTTCTCTACCTAGCCCGGCCCGACCCATCCGTTGAACACCCTTAGGTTCAGTTGAACATGCTCATTATTTAGGTCCACATTTGTTTGTTAGTGAATGTAAGTTAATCAAGTAATTGGAAGGAATTTTAACCGTTTAGTTGATTGGCTTTCTGAATTTTTAATGCGTTGGTGAGAGTTTGGTGTTTTAAAATTACTGTGCCAATGGTGATCTACAATAAATTCATTCATCTTTCAAAAGGTTATATATGTCAGATAACTATAAAATATGTAGAAAATAGTAAGTTTTCTAATTTCAAGTCAAAGATTAGCTTTATTTCTTATATTAAATTTGGATTCTTAAACAATATTATAATATCTTTTGAGAAATTAA